CTTAAATAAAGTATTATTATTATTATTATTAAGTATAAGTTTATAAAATTTTAATTGAAGTTTCTCAATACTGTTTACATTTTCAAATTCCCATATCTCGCAACCATAAAGAAGGATAGGGATAACCATTTTATCAAACATATCAATTTGACAATCAATGGACAAATTGAATTCTCGTGCTTCTTTTATTATGTTATTACATAACTCTGCTTGCTCTTTGCACAGTTTATTTTCTTGTACTATAAAATGATTCAGTTCTTGAAAAAAACACTCCTAAATATGTTTATTCTTTTACAATTTCAATCTCATTATTATTGTAAGTAAATACTACATTAGAAGATTGCTCTGGTTTTCCTTAATAAGGTCAATACTATCTGCATTCTTCTACACAATACAGATGTAAAAACTTTCCCAAGACAACTTAACAACGTTATAGGACGATAGTTTTGTGGATCAGTATAACTACCTTTTTTTCTTATAGATTGGTTTTATATTTCCAGCTAACCATGCCTCTGGGACAATACCTGTATCAAATACTAGATTAAACAATTTTACATACAATGACACCATAACGTTAATAGATGACTTAATATACTCGTTTATAACAATATCAGGTCCTGGAGATTTATTATTGTTAATTGTCTTCACCACATTCAGAATTTCATTTCATCTCATTCTGTACCCTGAAATTTAATTATAACGTCAAATGTCAACCACTAACGTTACAAGTGCAAATTAAAGTCAACTTTTAAATGAGTGCATGATTTTATCAAACATTTTAACATACAAATCTTCTAATTGGAAAACGAAGCATGTTGAAAAAGTAAATTTAAAACGCTCTTACTATACTGAGATACCTTGACACATACTTTTTTTTTGTTCTCGATTTACCGTTCACGCAGCGAAGTCCATACAGCTCTCGCTTCGTGATCTGGAGGTCGTGAGTTCGAATCTCGGCTGCGACTTTCCTACGTTGATAAAAAAAAAATGGTGGCAACTGTTTCTTCGACATGCGCTCGGCACACTAAACGCTGAGGGTCCTTCAAATGAGACATAAAACCGAGACTCTGTGTCACGACAGGCTTTGGCCGCAGGTTTCCATTCAATTCAACCCTAAATTAAAAAAAATATACGTCCCACACAATATCCTTTGGCAAGCTTAAGAAAAGTTAAATTAATTGCTCACCAATAAGTTATTTGTATTTCCAAAGGATAAAAAGAGATTAATTGTATTGTGAGTATTGAGCTCACTTTAATGATTCCCCACGTCTCCTATGTGATTATTATGACAGAGTCCATATACTTTCTCTGGGAGACCTGAAAATAGTGTCCAATCAAAAAGTAAAATAAGAGGACATAATGGCATTATGTAACAAATAATCTCTCAAAGTATCATTAAATCTTATTCAGTGATTAAGGAGGAATTGCGAATAAGAAAAGGATATACCATTTAATATAAGAAGAAAAAGCAGTATCCATGATTTGTTAAGGGAGCCACATTATGTATCGGATCAAAAAATAAAATAGAAGATGCACTTTGGAATTATTTAACAAAGATTCTGTAAAAGCCTCATTAATTTTTGTGAAGCCTCCATTAAATTTCATTCAGTGGTACAGAGGAAGTGCGGATAATAAATAGGTACCCTAAAGAGTATCAGACGGACAGACGTACAGACAGCTAGACGGATGTACAGAGAGATGGATGGACAAACATCCCATCACTATATACCCCTTCCCCCTGCTTTTGGTTGTATAATAAGTTTAATAGCGGTTGGTATAATAAGTCACATTTACAATAAAGAAAACCACGAAGAATGAATTTATAATAGTGTTTATAATGGATATTCGGAACTAGTAAAATGACAACACACAAAATATTCCCATATTTCCAGTGTTCTAAACATTTAATTTAAACAAGTTTTTAGCATTTATTAGAGTACATATCAAACTTTCTTTTGATACCTGGAATATTGTTTATGTGAAAAATTCACGACGCTACAAAGTTTTTCTGCAGGCTCACACGTGGCGGTGATTCAGATTTGTTGCATTGTAAAAAGCAAATCGACTGTTTCAAGTACGATAACGAAACCGTGACAGCAAAAAGTCAAAATCAAATCGAAGCACATAATTCAAACACTCATAAAAAGGTATCAATTTATTTTTACACCTTTGAATTTATTAATTATTAGCTCTTAAATTAATAATCATTTGGAACTGGTCAAAATTCGAAACTGGCCAAGCGGCTGTACTGTACCGTAACATATTTTTATGTTGACGGATATAAGTAATTTGTCATTACAATAAGGATCATACATATTCATTAGAGGACAATAAATCCCTGAAGTTAATTGGTTACACTAGCTATATTCCTATCACTACTATATGTAGTTAATGTTGTCATTGGAACTGGATATAAACCATGCTTATTCATTTCAATTAACTTGTTTACTAATTGAACAGCTTGTTGAATGTCCTTTTTATTTATTTGTCTAATTTATTGGTTTTATTTGTTTTGGTTCATTGTATTTTATTTGCTATATTTAGACACTGGAGTGACTTTTGTATGAGGCAATATATAAGTCAAGACACTTTTTATTGTTAAAGCAACATTAATCATGAAACATCTGTCCTCAAACTTACCAGAATGATATAACTGTAGTATACAATTTGACTTTTAAAAATCACTAAAACTATTAATAGTATAGTCTACATATTTATGTTTTTATTAATGTGAGAAATGTGCAGTTAATCAAACCCATTTCTTTCTATATAACTGACATTTAACATTATGCATCAATAAATTAAAAAAAAAATCATTAAACAGACACTAAGTAATGATGAAGTGTTGTTGAGGAGGGCCCTCACCTATTTTTATCGAGAGCAATGTTTTGTTTTAAATTTGCTCGTTATATGTGGAAGCTGGTTGCTAACCTTACTTCCTATACTTCTGTAGCAATTAGCTTATGTTTATGTAAGATTATCAAAAATGTTATTTTTGCAATGGCGTACTTCTTTTCAATTTTAGGAATTTTCTTACCTTCTTTCTTTCTTTCTTTATTCATTTATTTATATATATATTCATTTTCTTTATTTAATTATTTTAATATCTATTTTTTTTTCAGATTTATTTTTATTCATTTTTTTTTTCAAGGTTACATGTATGTGTCCTTTTTTTGACAAACACCCCCTTTCCTTACAATAAACGTTGTTATGTGCGTGTACATGCTAATTTTCCAGGGATCTTTAGGTAGATCCCCTACAAAATAATAAACAACAACTCTCTATACAATCATAAAATCTTATCTCTAATAAGGATTTGTACAAGGTCGTTTTTTGTTTTACTTTAATTTCTTTTCAGTTTTGTTTGACATTGGAATGCTTAACAGCAACTAACATTTATGTGTTTAAACGTTAACATTATATGATTTTACGTGTACAAATGAAATCGAAATTCATATTAATTTTATAAATAAAATCTTCACGTCAAACATGTCAAATATCACCTTAAAATAATCAGTATGGAAAAAAAAAATTATGATTAATAGAAATATCTGCACAGGTTGCTGATTTAAAATGCAATAGTATATTTCTAAACTTGATTTGAAAGGCATAATACATGTTTATGATATATATATAAATTTATGAAATTAATAGTTGCAAGTCCCTCAATGAGTAGAAAATAAAAGAAAATTCGGAATGAAAAACCATCGATAAGAGCTGTTGACACTGCCCGTTTTATAGTATATATAGATGTAGGTCGTATCACGCAATGCGATCACTACGCCTCTAAAGTTTACACACATCTGTCTTCTGCGGTAATTATATAGCACCGAATATTATATTGTTCAGCAATATTAATGCCCTTTTATTCTGGGGATCGTTTTATTTTCGTTATAAAACATCGGGGTTTTTTTTCACGCCACTCAGTTATGAATTACACTTTTCATTACTTTTCTATCTTCCTTGCAAAAAAAAAATTGCTATCTATAGACACTTTATGATTGAAGAATTAAATTTGATTTTACTTTCGTTCTCCTGCCAAAATGTCAACATCGACAATTTTTTAATAGATAAACCAAAATGTCATAGTATCAAATATATCTAATGAATTACATATATGATTAAGTCACTTTATGGCGGAAGTGGTAAAAAAAATACACACCGGAAGTCCTTTAACTTTATGTCAAACAATACCATTGCGTATCAGTGATGAATCATACACATGAAGACTGTTACATTATTGAATATAAATGTGTACACGTCCATCGTAGCGTATGTGTAGAGATCAAAAATGGTTTATGACGCATAGGTTACATTTCCTACAGACACTGGTAGCGTTAAGAACCCATAATATGTCAAATATCCTAGAATAAAATCAAATGCAATGTGTAGGGGGAGGGGGTATGCTCAAACAAGAATTTATTTTATATTTCTGTTTGTCAGTGTTTGATCAATTTTCTTTTGACTTGTCTGTTATACTCTGACATTTATCTTGATTATCAATAGCGCTTGGAAAATATATATGTTTTGTTTTAAGTTAATTGATAAGCAAGACTAATTTTGATTTAATAAAATCATTTGATAAGTATTTATTTATTTAATTACTTTATTTTATCTTTTACTTTATTTTTTTATTTTATTCTATTTATTAACATGTATTTATTATTTATCTATTTACCTATGTTCATGATTTATTTGTTAATTTACTTATTTGTCTATCTATTGTTATTTATTTATTTATTTTCTTATTCATTCATTCATCTAGTACATTAATTTATCTATTTGATTTTTCGCCATTATAAATGTTTGTACGTATACACAAGATGTAAGTCAGCAATGGGTATTTTCAAAACTTTAAAAGTTCGCTTATATATTTTCTCGTACATATTATCAAATTATTTACTAATCGTGTGGTGCCTGTAGTTTCTATTTGTTGAAAGGTGTATAGAATAGCGAGTCGAACGTGACCATTACTCAATAGCAATGTTCGCATTGGGTCAGCAACTAAAGGGGTCAGACTATAAAACCGTCAGGACCCCGATAGATCGGACGCATTTGGCGGGAGTCGGTGGACAGAGCGGACATTCGTAAAAATGGCCATGGAAGTGAGGATTTTTGTGCTATTAGTCCTGTCTGTGATTTTGGTGTCGGGTTATTCTAATTATAGAATACGACCTATTACTAAATCGATATATAGGCAGTATTTCGACAAATACCGAGGATACAGAATGGGCCACCGCGGGTATCCTCTGCGTAGACCCTATGTGAGATCCATGGGGCAATTCTTTGGAAGGAATAATCATATTCAAAGGTTACTGCCTCGATTTCAACATGGATATAGAAAGGGAGATCAATACCTTCGAAAAGGAGTGAGTAAGATTTAATTTAATGTTTCGTAACTAAAACAAACAGACACAAAAACAAATAAAACTAACAATTTCCAAAAGTAGGTGGTTTGTTTATAATCATAAACAGTGGATACAGGGTAGAAAAAAAGTTACCAGACAAGAGGAACAATTATAATAATTTCTGGAACATATTTGCATAGTTGATAATCAAAACAGTAATATATTATTGTCTTTACTATTGACATATTATTATCATCATTGTTTGCTGATTATTAACATTTTGAATTATCTGGTATAACATTTTGATGTAGATATGACTTTCCGAGGTCAATTAAAAGAGCTATTTTAAAAAAGCATTTCATTTTAGTTTAGTGCATTTTTGTTCCATATCTACATGTATAGCAAAGTGCACAGGATTGCTAAATGAAAAATAAAATAGACGGGAAACAGTTAATTAAAAATGTATGTCATTTTGCTCTTAAACAGTGTGAATATTGCTTTTTTCTTAGTGTCAAATGAATGCTTTTTATTCTAATTAACATTTTGTTTCAGGGTAGAGGGGTAGGAATCAGGCCGATCCCGATCCACAGAGTGCCACGCCCTCTTCGTATCTATCCAGTCCGTTCCTTTAGACCGATCCCGACCAAATGTGCAAAATACGAAACAATGGTCTGCTCACCAGCTCCATATGGCATGGGATCAGGAAAATGTTTTAGCATCTGCAGAAATGGGAAGCCATGCTATAAACCATGTGCTTGTACTTGTCTGCCATTTTCAAATGGAAAATTTAGATCTCCGGGTAAAACCAATCTACTTCCTCTAGGAAAAAAACCAAGGATACCTTACTGTGAAAAATCTCATCGTCTCATTTGTAGCGCTCAAAAATATTCAACAGCTTCTGATGTCCTGTGTGCAAGTGCTTGTTCTG